TGCAGTGGTTGCCTCTCATTTTAAATGGAAAGAGCACAGACAAAGCCTTATTTTCTTTATATGAAGAGATTACAAATGAGGACAATAGAAGCAATCAAAACCAACAAAAGAGTAATAATATGGAAGTGCTATATTAGTATATTATTATAGTGTTATATTTCAATTTCACAAAGAAACGTGCAGCATTTTATCCAAGCAATAATAAAAGGGCACATTTCATTTATAATTTGTCTTAAATCTCATTTTGTAAAAGAAAAAAAAATCGTGAATCGAATCGAATCGTGAAATCAAAATCGTGAATCAAATCGAATTGTGAGTTGAGCGAATCGTTACATCCCTAATAATTATCGGAGCTGTCCATTCAGTTCCCTGACTGAGTTCTGCACTCTTGCAAAAACTCTCATTATAATTAAAGACTTTTGACTACACTGCACAGTGAATTTTATATTTGTATCGTACCTATGCTTAGCTGAATATAATGAAAGCATTTGCGAGACTGAAGAACTCAATCAGTAAGCCAGCACTGAACAAAACTAAAGTATTTTGGGTGGATTTCCTCTGCGCCAGTGACTATTTTAAACAGCTTTGATTGGTCATATCTCAAACATTGTGAAAAACATGTTGTAAATAGAAACAGTTTATGCAATAGAAGCTGTGCAATGAAGTGTGAAAAGACTACTATGCAAGTAACATCCAATTTTAAGTTTTAACCACAGATGGCTATAGAGAGACTAAAGTTTCTTAGTTCTGAAGACTTCTCTATGATGTCATTTCCTGTTTTAGGATTTGATTTCTGCTTGTGGTTTCTCCACATTACTTTAATTTGGAAACAAAGGTTGACAAATATTAACAAGCAATGAATCATTGTAATCAAATTATTCAGCTTAATATTAAGTTTTATTTGTCCAATCAATAATATTAACAGATTATTGTGGCAATTTTTATTTTTTTTAGGAATTGAACTTTTTTTTTTTTCCCATGAACTTTGATTCATCACAGAAGAGCTGTATTCACATCATTGTATATAAGAACTGTATTTATTACTTGATCAGAAAGTCATGGCAGCTTCTGGTTTTACACGACTTTAACACATCAAAATATGTTGAGCAATTTCAACTTTTTTATAAGTTATATGAGATTCAACTGGATTTTTCAAGTCAGTTTAATATAATTTGTTGAAAATGGCTTATACAACCAAGTTTATACTTAAACATTTGCGGCAGCAAATGAATGTAAGTTTTTAAGTTGAAATAGGTTTCTTTTTTACTGTGATATGAGCATCGTGTCATTGAGCTAGAAGAGAAAGATGGATAAATACATAATTTTGTCAACTTTTAGGAGTAAACTAGCATATAAATGCTTTAAAACTAATAGAAGTAGATTAAAAGCTACAGTACAATCTTCAACTGTGAATTCATGGGGTTTTCAAATCAAATGACAGCTGGGGATTACAAGGTTTCATATTCAATATACATCCAGCCTTCCATTAATAAAGTAACACATGTCAAATAAATAAATAAATCTGTATGGGCATGAATCATCAAATGGTTTCATGCATAGTTATTGTTCAAGTGAAATTAAGTCTTGCATGTACCATCAGCATTCATGAATGCCAGCACAAAAGAATGTCATGTCTTCACAAAGATGATAGGCATCTGGCTCTCGACCAAAATGCACTCAGCAACAAGAGAAAATATTCACCAGACATAAACACAAGGAGAACTGAAATGCTCACAACCTGTGAAAGAAAAGACACTGAGAGTGTGGAGAGATGAGTTGTAGAAGAAGATGATGGAATTGCTGGGAGGCTGGGATGAGGGAGGCTTTTGGATAATACCGCTCTAGAGATCCAGCTGAGGACTAGATGAAAAGATTCTCAACGGCGCTAAGAATCAACTCCTTTTTCCAGTTGTGTGCATTTCATTACAGATCATCATGCAGTTTCATTGAACTCATTGTGTATAGTTTTAAAAGGCTTAAAAGCAGTTTTAAATGCTCAACATTTTATGTACACCTTTGTTTCTGATATATGAGACTGAAAAAGGACTATTATTAAAGGACTATTAGCCAATATAATAAATGTTGATCATATACTGCCTTATATATACTTATATTATACAGTGGGATTTGTATTGTTTTGACAGCAGAACTACTGCTGATATGACCAAAACCTGCTGTTCTCAGAATGATTTGAGATGTAACGCTTCATTGGAAGCAATAACATCTGACCGTCTGTACAGAGAGTTCACATGGTCAGTGTCATAAATGTGCTCTTTGATCAAAAAACATTTTTGATTTAATCTTCATTTTACAGTTATTTCCTTTACATTTTTTTCTAAATCTTAAAACCACCTGTTGATTGACAGGTTTTGGTTCCCAAATTTTTAATGTGGTCCCAGACCTTACCACCCATTGTATATTCGTATACATTAAACTTGGCAACTGCTAAAATAAAATAATTACAAGTATTTTTATTTTCTTTATTTCATTTCATGTAACAAAAATTGTTTTATGGTTCTACTTTTAAAAAAATGTTACCAAAGCAATTTTTAAATACTATTAGTCAATATTATATGTGTTAATCATATACCGCCCTATATACTGTATATATACCTATACAATACTTATACAGTGGGGTCTGTATTTTTCTAATGCATTGCATTTTTTCATAATAAATTATATCATCAGCATAACATTTTGAGTGAACGGTTGGAAAATTATCATGAATATGTATGTCCTTATTTATTAATTATATTCTGCCATTTTGCACATTATGCTATTCTAAATTAAATTACGCACTATTTGTACTACATCTTCTGCATTACAGCGGTCATTTGTGCTGTCATTTGTAGCTCATTTTTCAATTTACCATAATTTACTTATAGGCTATGCAATGCTGTATTACTACTCACACCTCTGGTTAGACTTGCTCTTCACAAGCACAGTTGAAACTAATATAATAAAATATGTATGATGCAGAAAAATTATATATTTTTACATTAATATGCTCTCTGCGAAAAACACTGCGCATGAACTGTAATCTGCATTTGAATGTGCACTTTTTCTCCCTTTCAAAGTTGATAAACAGAATCAACAGGTGGAAGCACCAGACTGGCTATCTGCCAATATTCACCATACATCACATCAGTGCAGTAATGAAGGCTTGGACGGAGACAGGTTTGATGGATGGTTATGATTATACACGTACCACAGAACTCAAGGTGTCCTACCAAGGTGACCATGATCACTTGCATAAAGTCAGCACAGCACAAAGGCAATGACTCATGTGTCATTACAAGTTTGCATATGCATAATTGCATCAGTAATAACGCAAATCATCAGCATCAATTTGACGGACAGCTTCTTAACAACACTGATCAGATTTAAGTGGCACCTACTGTGGGCTCTTTGGGTAGAAAGGCAGGGTGACGTGATTGAGGTCTTGAATATCAAAGGCTGTGGGTTCGGCTGAGATCGCCTGTCTCTTAGTCCTCTGCTGCTCTTGAAGGACACTCTTCTGCTTGTGGACTTGTTGAGTTGCCGGTCTTATAACGGATCGGTATTTGTCTAACTCAGTCTGAAGCTTCTGGATGAGTTCGTCTTTCTGGTCCAGCTCCAACTCCAGTTCATCAATCAGCGCGTCTCTCTGTCTCAGTTCTTCAATCTTCTCCTGTAACGCGTACTGGAGATCGCGTAAAGTGCCCATTTCTCCCCACAGTTAACGATCCGGAGTCGTTTCCAACTTGGCGAACGGTCAGTTTTCGGTCATGAAATTCAAACAAACCGCTTTGGGTCGTGTTTTCCGTGGTAATGTCGCCAAAAAATGTGGCGCGCCGATCCACCGGCGTGCTATCGGGTCACTTATACCGGAGGAATGAGCGGGGAAACACCCACGGCGCCTGCAAACATCACATTCGGGAGACGAAGAAGTTTCACAGGGCATTCATTTCTTGTCCAAATACGTCAGTCGCAAGCTGTCGAGCGCGTGAGAGCAGCACGCTCGTGGCTCCCCGATGAGCCAATGAGGAAAGACTCAAGCGAACACCTGTAACAGCCGCTGAGCCTTCAAGTGCGCTACCTTCCACAAACACACGAGCGCATTCAAACAATAACAGTTCCATGAATTTAATCTAAAAGAAACTTTTCCCTATTAAAATACAAATCATCTTCTAAAATGTGCACATCAGCCATGCATCAATAAATATGCACGCAGAAAATACCTCAAAGAAAATATTCCACGCTTTCATTTTGTTGTTTTCTCATTGACAACTAACTAGTTTTGTGACCTATACCCGCAACTGAACTTGCTTTTTACCCTTTTAAGACGTAAAAATACTTCTCATCGTTTAACTTTAATTACAGTAAATTCTTTCAATTCTGCTCTAATTTTATGAGTTTAAGCTTGTTAGTTATTATTAAATTAATTCAATGCTGAGACAGAATCATTGCCTTTTAAGAAGCAAAATCTACAGTTAGACTGTTATGAAACACAAAATATTGCATATGACCAAAATGTCATTTTCAGATGTTGAGGTAACTGGTGAAGGTGACATAAAATATTTATTTATTTATTTGCTAATTTATTTATTAATTTTTGGTAGTTAAGAAATCCTAATGAATTTATTTATTTATTTATTTTTATTTATACAGTAACGCTCAAAGGAATGGTTCACCCCCAAATTATTGGATGGTCTGGGGATGAGTAAATCATCAGGAAATTATCATTTTGGGGTGAACTATTCCTTTAAATACAACACTAATGAAGTTCAAGGATTCTGTAGTATATGTTTACACAACCAACTGCAGTTATGCTTCTATACTTAGCACAGAACAAGCTGTATGTCCAGATGATTCTCTGGAGTTCTAACACATGTTTCTTCTTCATAGTCCCTAACATCATCTGGATCCTTCCCATTAACACATGACCACCTGGTGTTCCATTTCACCTCATTAACTGCCCAAACTGTCGAGTGCTAAAAATGTTACTCTGAGAATTAAATTGTTACACTCGTATGCCCTCTGTAGACTTCTTGTGCTGTAACACATCAATAAGCATGTTAGATTGAAACCTATGGAATCCTGAACAATATCATTTCAAAACAGGGTTATTACAGTTAACGAAAACTTAAATCTTAAAATATGTATATGAAAATATATTTAAAAAAAATAAAATAAATACTATCTAAAAATATATACAAGCTACTTTATTTAAACTATTAGCCTATATTTAAAAACAAACATATTTTATTTCAGCTAGCCAAGCAACATTTCTCTCTTCTTTTTTTTTTGTTTAAGTTGAAGTATTAAAATAACTAAAACTAAATGAAATAAAACTAAAAACTTAATTTAAAAAAACACTATAAAAATGACAAGAACACATATAATAAAATAATTAAATAAATAAAATTATTATTTTATTTATTTATCTATTAATAGAATCTATTTATCTATTTAATAGAAAATTATTCTATTAAATAGAATAAAATTATTAAAACTTTTAAATTAAAAGGAAAAAATGAAATACAAAAAGAAAATTTGATTCAAAACAAAAACTAAAATATTAATAAAAAGTGTAATACTATATCAATGATACTAAATGCTTAAAAATTCCAGAGGAAAGGTAATGGCAAGAACACACAATTAAAAAAAAAAAACAGGATTAAAAGCGCCCTCTAGTGGAGAAAACATACCCATACACTGTATATGTTTACAATCATGTTTGCAAATTGTTCTATGTTTTATGTCTTGTACAGTATTTGTCACTGCTCTGTATAATTTGCTCTGTCTACAACTTGTTTTATGTACCATTCTGTTTAGTGTTTTGTCTGGCAGAAAGAATCTTAAGACTCAATACAAGACGTTAATAAAGGTGTTAATAAATGTCCTGAATTTTGAAACCCACAATGTAGCACACAAACCTCTCAAGGAACATTATTCAGTATCTAGTCTATGCCTTCGTTTTCACTGATTTCCATGAGCACTGGCCCAAAATGAACGTGAATCCCATTTATCAGGCCTAACAGAAAAGACCAATTAAGCCCGATTGATGAGGCTCTGTCCTTCTTGCAAACCATTTACAAGAACTGGAGACCAGACACAGATCAAAGTGTCTGCGCCAATGTGGACGTGAGAGATGTGATGCTAATGTGGAAGGCCTGAGTCTGGATCTGCAGTACAAGCCGCCGTTAACCCTGCAGCCTTTTATCAGCACAGGAAAGATAACACACTTTCCATTCTCAAGTGCTTTTCAAGCAGCTTGTTGATTATATAAGGAGTTCTACATGAGAACACACAGGATCAGAGACGAGGGCGGGCGAATACACAGTGTATAATGTTCCTGTGGCTCAGTGGTAGAGTATTGTGTTAGCAGCACAAAAGGTTGTAGGTTCGATTCCCAGGGAACACACATACTGGTGAAAAATGTATAGGTCGTGGGTTCAATTCCCAGGAAACACACATACTGGTGAAAAATGTATAGCCTGAATGCACTGTAAGTCACTTTTGATAAAAGTGTCTGCTAAATGCATAAATTATTATGATTAAATTATTATAAAATAACAAAATAATTAACAAATGTTAAATATATAATTTATAGTTTAATTTCTGTGATGCAAAGCTGAATTTTCACCATCATTACTCCAGTCTTCAGTTTCACATGATCCTTCAGAAATGTTCGTTCAGATCATTTGGTGCGCAAGAAACATTTCTTATTCTTATCAATGTTGAAAAATTTTCTGCTGCTGAATATTTTTGTGGAAACTGTGATTCACTTAAAAGTTTGGAGTAAGTAAGGGAACGAAAGAAAGAAAGAAAGAAAAAACTACATTTTATTCAGCAAAAATGCATTCATTTTATCAAAACAGTGAAGACATTTATAATGTTACAAAAATATATATATTTCAAAAGCTGTTTAATTCAACTTTCTTTTCAATGAAAGAATCATTAAAGGCTTCATTTAAACCTCAATTAAATGTATTAACTATGCCTTTTTTCTACAATAAAAAAATACTACTAAATGAATAGCTTATATGAAAGGCTATCGTTGTGTCGGTGGCCTAGAAAAAGCTTTTCTATCCTACATGGGGCTGTTCCCCGCCATGCTGAGATCACATGACACAGACAAATACTCACTCAATTACTCTCTGTCACTTTTAATTGTTGAATAAATTATTTACACAGTCATAAATATGCTTGTAAGTAAGCAGGGCATTACAATGGCATCATTAACCAAAAATCTTTTCCATCCACACTTCATGATAGGTCTTAGTATAGAGCCCACTGTCATATCATATCATTGCATTAAATTCCTCAGTTTTAATATCAACCCTTTGTGGGATGATGATATTTTGCTGACATCTAGTGGCTACTAACAGGAAGCTATTTCAGTTTTTAGGTGGTTTAAGGACAGCCAATAGATGAAAAGAACTGGCAAAACTGCTTATTGTGATCCAAAACGGCATTTTTCAATTTATTAAATTCAAAAGCGAAATGAAAATGTAGCATTGATCTCAACCATATTCAGAAAGCTACAGCTCCCGCTGACCCTTGCAGAGGTTAATAAAGATACTCATTTACAGAAATGGGGTTTCCTTATTCCCGCTAAATGCGGGACATTCCACATTTTTCCAGGAAAAGTCGAAAGTTACAATATATGAATCCTAAATATAGGAGTGAATATCTGTGACATTAAATATTTAACAGCCAGCATTAAATATTCAACAAGGTTAGGGCTTTTGGACACTGCGCAACACTGTGAAAGAGAGCTTTTATGTCTGAGAGCATTAGACCAGATGTGGACTTCTACTGTATGTGAATGCATTATTGTAGGCATCGTTGAACCAACATTTATAAATGATAATGTCAGCTAATTATGATGCATGCATATAGTTTGATTCAATATTACACACACTTTAATAAAGAGTATCTCATTCTATTACAATTTAGAGACAAAACTGGTGAAAGTAAAAATAGAAGCATTTTAAATCTATTTATTACACTAATTGACCACCTTTTTTCTAAGACCATGTGTGCTGCACTCATTTAGTGAGTATAGTTGCTCTAAACTACAGTACATTTTTGTCAGTACTAAAACTTGGGGTAAAAATAGAAGCATTTTAAATCTATTTATTACACTAATTGACCAAGTAATATATACCAAGAAATATATACCAAGTAAATGACTAAAGCTTCTAAGAGCTGGTTTCTGCAATGAAACACAATGGTGACACACGATACCCATCTGTATATTAGTCAAGCAAATTCAGAAACTTTACTATCCTTTGCACAAATCAAAAGGTTGAAATCATTTGTATAGTATAGTATAGTATAGTATAGTATAGTATAGTATAGTATAGTATAGTATAAACCTGTTAGGCTTAACTGTGTTCATATTGTAAATATGTGAAAAAAAAATGGTGTAAAAACATCACAAAGTGTAAAAAAAAAGTGTTAAAAAATTAACCGATTGAAAGTTAGAATGTTTTGCAGTCCAGATTTAGGCCAGTATAGTATAGTATAGTATAGTATAGTAGTGTTATACAATTTGATAATACAATCTTGTATATACATTCGTAGCATATTATTGTACATATTTAATTTTTCATAGTATAGTATAGTATAGTATAATATAGTATATTATAGTATAGTAGTATAATTAGCCGTATAGTATAGTATAGTATAGTATAAACCTGTTAGGCTTAACTGTGTTCACATTGTAAAAATGTGAAAAAAAATATTGTGTAAAAACATCACAAAGTGTAAAAAAAAAGTGTAAAAAAAATTACCAGATTGAAAGTTAGAATTTTTTGCAGTCCAGATTTAGGCCAGTATAGTATAGTATAGTACTATGTATAGTGTAGTATAGTAGTGTTTTACAATTTGATAATACAATCTTGTATATACATTCGTAGCATATTATTGTACATATTTAATTTTTCATAGTATAGTATAGTATAGTATAATATAGTATATTATAGTATAG